CCATGTTACCAACCACGGCAGCAATGATCAAGACATGGGACGCAGTGAGGGCATCACTGGGCATGGTCGGACCAAACATAAGGAACATCCCACTCACGAGCATATCGGTGGGCATACCGACGTTTGACCACGCTCCCTGGGTGAGAGGGGGTTGTACCCACCTTGGCCAGATCTGCGTGAATAACGAGTTACTGCCATTCCCAACACTGCAAACCAAGTTCTCCTTGCACTCCAGACACATATTCCCTTACCTCCAACTGAAATCATTTGTGGCCTCACACGGTAAAGATTCGGGAACCGAACCGCCAAACATTGGTGCCTTGGAACAAATATGCTTACAGGGCAGTATACCCAAAAAAATCCTGTCAAAACTTTATGCGCTACTGAATACAGTAGATACAAACGGACAGGGAGACTTTAGAGAAGCCTGGCAGAAGGACATAGGGCGACCAATAGCGGATCTAGACTGGAAACAGGCATTCCAAACACACAAAGGACACACATCATGCGCGACTCACCTAGAAACAATGAGGAAAATTATGTACAGATGGTATATGGTCCCAGACAAACTAGCAAAAATATACCCGGGAAGCTCAGGGGAATGCTGGAGGGGTTGCGGAGAAAGGGGGACAATGTACCACATTTGGTGGACGTGCCCGATAATTATTCCCTACTGGGAGATGGTGGAGGGGATAATCACTGACGTGATAGGCCGCCCATACAGCTTGGGACCTGAACAGGGTATACTATTCATGCATCTTGCCCTCTGGCACAAGCAGGAAAGACAATTGATATTCCAGGTGCTTATAGCGGCAGTAACCCTGATAGCCAGACAGTGGAAACAACCACGAGCGCCCAGCAGACACGATCTCCTAACACAAACATCCACAAACTGGGAATATGAAGCTATGGCAAATAAATACATTACAAATAACCGCACGATCATGGACACAAAAATCAAATGGGCAAATTACATTCAGAAAAGTGCACACCACTCCGGGACTCAAGACGTATAGGTACGCTAAGACACGAAGGCTTGAGTAGAGAACCAAAGCTAGAGAGACAGAGAACGTAGGTGACTTGACCCGGGAGGAGGTCCTAACGCATAGAGTCGAAGATACACTAGAGGAAGAGAGGCGGAACTAGCAACTAGGAACATAGGTCTAGGGAGAGGACAAAGAGGAGCACCGGTTCAAGAGATCCATACACGGAATCTCTTCCCTTTCCTTCCCTTAAACCCTTCCCTTCACGTTTCAGCACACCCTACCCCCACCCCCCCCCCACTCCTTTTTTTTGCGCTACATCTTAATATGTGTAAGTGTATATAGATAACCGCTCTAGTTAGCATCCCGCTAGTGGCTCATGTACTCCCAGCCCAGACGCTACCACCAAGCAATCACAGTACGCAAGATCCTGTGGGGGTAAAACCCAGTCTCCCCTAAGGAGACCAGTACGCAGGGGGCCAGAAAAACACGCAAGGGATAAGAGAGAATGACACAATACACGTGCCGTAAAGCAATTCACCCACTGATCCAACCACAACAGTGGCGATGTTACGACCAGTACTCCATACCACACCTGCGACTCAGAGACAGGCAGCAAATACGGAGTGGGAAAACATGACCGTTTAAAGTGTAATGGGTAATACTGTATACGCTAGCATTTGAAATGTGGAACACAGGATGTGAAATGTGAAACATATACTGTACATATCCGAGACGAAAACAATTTACGTGTAAACAACGTTGCCTACATCCTTCCCCACCTTCCCTTCTTTATTCTGTACCCTCCTTATACTGCTTTTTGATATATGACAAAATAAAAATTGTCAAATTGAAAAAAAAAAAAGAGAAAAACATTTTTAGTAAGCACTAGGGTAAGGATTTTACATGCAAAGTCTATATATTTGGTAGAGAATTTAGACTGTAGTTGCAAAATGAGTCTTAAGTTCTCAATCCCCAGAGCATGTGGGATGGAACTATAGAGAGACTCCACATCAACACTACCCAATAATGCCTCACCAGGTACGCTGATATTTTCCAAGAGTTGTAACATTTATTTTGTATCCCTTACATAAGAAGGGAGCTTTAATACAAATGGACTCATTATCTTATCAAGATATATACTCATGTTTTGAGTCAAATTGTTTGTACCAGAGACTATTGGACGTCCACTGGGATTAGTTACAGACTTATGGATTTTTGGAAGGCTATAAAACATGGATGTCGTAGGGTATCTTGTAGACATAAATTTAAATTCATCCTTTGAGATGAGTTTATTATCAAGGGCTTGTGACAGCAAACATTTCACTTCCATAATATATTCACTAGTGGGATCATTGTGTAGTACTTGATATGTCTTGGTGTCACTTAAGAGGCCATTAACTATGGATATATATTGGGAGCGATCCATTATAACTATATTACCCCCCTTATCGGAGGGTTTAATAATTATATCCGTATTGGTACGCAGAGATTTAAGCGCATTTGCCTCAGCCTTTATTAAATTTCCACTGGACCTAAAGTCTAGATCGTTAGGATTGATATTTTTCGATATCCCTGCAGACCATTTCCAAGAATACTTCCACATTTTTATAATCCTTAAAATGAGGTGTGAAAGTACTTTTGGGTTTCAAGTCTGTCGAGGGTACATTGTTTGGTTCTTCCACCTCATTGGACTGTAAAAGTTCAACTAACGTGTCCAGGCAGTCTAAATCTCTAACAGTTAATCCTAAATCTCATGCTTTCTGTTCCTTCTTAGTGGTATGATATTTAAACAAGGCCAGTTTGCGAGCAAAGAGATGTAAATCTTTGGTCCAAATAAATTTGTTAAATGGGGGTGTAGGTACAAACGTCAAGCCTTTCTGTAGTACTGAGTTTTCTATCTCTGATAGGGTAATTGATTAAATATTAACAACTCTCAAATGGTCATGGTCTAGTTTCGGTACCTTCGTTGACCCCTGCTTCTTTGTGATTGCCTGGTGTTTGGGCCTTTGAGTTCCTCGGCCTGTCTCCGACCTAAAAAATTTACCCCTTTGCGAAGTATACTTTTTGGGTCTAGGGATTGGGAACCCTGACTAGAAGAAACAGCAATCTCATGTTCTTCGTTATCAGTAGACTCATATTCTGAGGTACTGAAACGGTCAGAGTCCATCCTTACTCTTTTTTTGAAATGGCGATATATCTTGCCAGTCTCAAAATCAGTGGAATCCCTTAGAAATTTCTGATGTTTTTTGGTCTTAATTTGGTATGAGAACTTGTCTAAGTTGTTTTTGAGTTTAACTTCAAGACTCTGAAACAGTGGATCTGTATTGAACTTTTGGACCACTTCAATCTCAGTGTCTAATTCCTGTTGAATCTTAGTAAGTTGTAAGTTCTCATATTTATCAGGCTGTAAAAGTGAAATATATTAGGGTCAGATAGGCGTGCGATAAAACAGGAATGGGGAGATGCATCTAAGCAGAGATGACGTAAGGGTTGTTCAAGCAAAACAAACATTTGGGTACGTATGTGTGTGTGTGTGTATTTATATATATATATATATATATATATATAAACATACACACACACACATACGTACCCAAATATACACACACACATATACATATATGACATTGGAAAAAGAAAGTACACAATCTTTGAATTCTATGGTTTTACATATCAGGACATAATAACAATCATTTGTTCCTTAGCAAGTCTTAAAATGAAATTAATACAATCTCAGATGAACAGCAACACATGACATATTGCACTGTCATTATTTATTTAACAAAAATAAATCCACAGGTCACAGTGACCTGCGGGTCTCATTTTGGCTGACTGTTGGTTTTAACACATGCTGTTACATAACACAGTGTTCTTTGATTACTATGTATCTATAATACAGAAGTGATACACTTTATGAGAGAATGTTTTTAAAATATCTCTCCATAAATACCATGCAATGGCGTACCTACCACAGTTGCAGGAGTTGCAACTGCGACCAAAGGGCCATCGGCATACCTTCTGTGATGGTGCCCAGCCGCATCTGCCTGGGGCCCGTGGTTCCCAATGCTGGCAGGAGAGGAGATCTGCACTGTACTGCTCCCCCCCCTGCCTGTGTGTAGTGCTGCTTAGTGGTCTGACAGTAAGTGCTTACTGAAAGAGCACTTCCTGTCAGACTGGGCACCGCAGGGAGCCAGTTACAGGATGGGAGAGATGGAGGAAAGGGACACATGGAAGGGACGGGGAGAGAGGAAGGAAAGGGACACATGGAGGGGAGGGGGAGAGAGGAAGGAAAGGGACACATGGAGGGGAGATTAAACTGAGATTTACAAGAAGACCGCTGTATCCTCTCCCTTGAGGTAATAATATATATATATATATATATATTGGTGAATATTGCAAAAAACTAAAAAGAACATTAACTTTGGCCAGGGTGACTTATTGGTGACTAAGAAGCTTCTAAAAAGATTGGACATACCCTAATTTGAATACCCTGGGTTATCCACTTTTGCAAATGGTATATCATGATGGGGGTAATACTCGTAGCTGAGCTGCCATACTGCTTCAAAGGCAACATAGGCCCCGCAAACCAATCTGGCAAATTTCAATGTGTAAAAAGTGAAAAAAGCTCTTTATTTGTAACTTTCCAAAAAACTATGAAACCTATACATGGGGGGCATAGCTGTACTCGTGGGACATCACAGCATACAAATGTGTGTTTTATTGCAATAAAAGCTAACAGTATTATGACAGTCACAGTTAAAATACCATGAAAAACTTGAAAAATAACAAAAATTCTCAATTTCACTTTTTTAAAATTTATTCATATTAACCCCATAACGCTGTTACGGCGTTCTATGCCGTCACGGCTTTAAAGGGCTTTTAAGTCATTGCGGCGGCATAGAACGCCGTAACGCCTTAAGTCCAGGGGAGGTCCGGCATACTTACCTCCGCCGCAATCCTCTTCTGGAGGGCTGCCTCACAGACCAGGCAGCCCTCCCCCGGCAAATGATATTTCAGACAGTCCCCCTGCTGGTGGGAAATGTAAAAAAATAAAAATTAAACATGTGTAAAATTAATTAAATGTATATAAATACATTTAATTAATTTTACACATGTTTATTTTTAATTTTTTTACATTTCCCACCAGCAGGGGGACTGTCTGATATTTCAGACAGCCCCCTTGCTGGTAGTTCCACAGCCAGCTATATTATACATATATATATATATATATATATATATATATATATAATATATGTGTATATATCTAGTATATATATATATATATAATATACATATATATAATATATATATAACGTCATTCTAAGTGTATTTTAATATTAATATATATACTAATATTAGTATTAAAATACACAATGTATGACGTTATATATATATATATATATATATATGTATATATATTATATAAATAATATATATACATTTTATATATATATATATATATATATAACGTCATACATTGTGTATTTTAATACTAATATTAGTATATATATTAATATATGTAATATATATGTAACGTCATTCTAAGTGTATTTTAATATTAATATATTATATACTAATATTAGTATTAAAATACACAATGTATGACGTTATATATATATATGTATATATATATATATATATATATATATGTATATATATTATATATATAATATATATACATATATATATATATAAAACGTCATACATTGTGTATTTTAATACTAATATTAGTATATATATTAATATTAAAATACCCTTAGAATGACGTTACATATATATTATATGTATGTATATTATATATATATATAATAGATATATACACATATATTATATATATATATGTATAATTACAATAATAAATAAATAAAATAATAAAATAAATAAAATATTGAAACAAAATTTAATATAAATTATATATTCATATGCAATTTCATTCTAACTGTATTTTGTTATTAATATATATATATTGGTAACAAAATACACTTAGAATTACATTCTATATATATCTATCTATATATAAAATACAAATAGCCGCAAATATATATATAGAGATAAATACATATAATTACATAAAAGATTACATTAGTATACACGTAGAATTTAAATACCTATAAATGCATATATATTAAAATTCTACATGTATATTTAAGTAATCTTTTAACATAATTATGTGATTTGATTAATTAAAATTTGATTGACATGCCTGACAACACAGGGAGAAAGTGCAGAGAATTTAATTCGCAAGCATTATATTTGACCCTGTAACTCTCCAAGACACCATAAAACCTGTACATAGGGGGTACTGTTTTACTTCGGAGACTTTGCTGAACTCAAATATTAATGTTTAATACTGGTAAATTGTATTACAACGATGATATTTTAAGTAAAAGTGACGTTTTTTGCATTTTTTACAAACGAACGGCACTTTTATGGACTTTTTTGTTTCATGTATATGTGTATTAAAAAACTTAATAGAAGAATTTATACTTAAAAAAATAATATATATATATATATATATATATATATATATATATATATATATATATATATTTTATGTGGAATGAAAGCTCTATTTCTCCTAAACAGGATCATTTGAAAAGCTTGTCCAAACATATTAAATTGAGACCAAAATTAGCTTTTGAAATCCTGATAATTATTAGATTGGTGATTCAGAAAAATCAAAGTTCATTCACTAAGAAACAAGCATAGATAGACATATATTACAACTCACCAGTTAATCCAAGGTATAAGTATTCAGAGATATAAACTACAGCAATAGCTTGAAGCCTGAGCTGAAGTTAAAGGTCTGATTCTCTTATCAATAGCCAATAATTATATCAATACTTTAAAACTATTACATTAAGATCATGACACAAAATATACAGAAACTACTTACGGAACCTCTGACGTGTTTTGCATGAGGAAGATATAGCTGAACATATACCATATCTGATATATAATCATCATAAGTAATGCTTGCATTTTACACACCTCAATCATATTATTGATTAACCAGAAACGCTTGTTTTTAAGGTGTAGCAACTGAATTGTCACGGAATATTATTTAACCTTTTAGTGACACAGCTTCAGTTTGCTTGTTTTGTACTTAATAACACAAGCAATTTTATAAGTTTGGCTATTTGTGTTTTAAGCCACAACTTTCATGTCTCATTTATTGCAGCAGCACACATTATATTTTTTTTTACAGTTTTGGTCATAATGATGTGTACATAATTAGTGCAGCTAAAGAAAAGGAATTCAAAATAAATTCATTTATTTGTCCTGACTATAGAGTACAACATATGTCTAGGATTTCAGTTTATTTTTGGTAGTTATAGGTCACAAAATTCAAGTAAAATTAAATTTCAATATGGAACAGTTTTAGAATTTGGTATGTTTGTCTTTTGAGTTTAATAGCCATGTCAGAAAACAGAATCACAGGATACTTAGATACTATATCTAATAATTAATAAATCACTACCTTGGCATGATCTACCCCCAGTTTTATTTTATCAACATGGTTAAGAAGAAAATCAAGGCTGGTGTCTGTTTTTTAAATAGCTATTTAACTACCAATCTACTTGAGGGTTTTGTGTTTTTTTTACACTTAATAGCCATTCCAGAAGACAAAATCACAGGGTATTTAACTATTTTGAGAATTTTTACATAGCTATTTAACTACCAATCTACTTTAAAATTGTAGCAAATTTTAGGGTTTTGTGTTTTTTGTTTTTTTTTACAAACACACTTATAAATGTTTAATGTGTATTTAGTAAACCTGTACAAAATCCCAAACTGTGTTTCAATGACTTTGTCAATGTCAGGGTTGGCTAGAGGATTCTCAGCAAGGTGAGAGAGGGAGCGACCTAACAAAGGCAAATACAGAGAGATAAGAAGTAACAGGACTAGACAAAGAACTAGACGCATCAAAGAGCTCTCTTTAAATAGGGTGGTCCTGACTCATATACTCTGTTTCCTGGGAGTGATTAACCTGAAACAAGTAGTCAATTTCATAATAATCTTCAACTATAAAACATTATCTGCAGCAAACGCTAGAGTGATATATGTACACAGGACTTAAGTGCACAAGCAGCTCATACCTGGTTTTCTGTGGTGCCCTCAATCCTTTGCTGTATGAAAAATGTGGTGGTCCAAGCACACAAATGAATGCACAAAATAGATGAATAACAGCAATCGGATTTTAAAATAAAAAGTAAATTTTTATTCTCCCACGTATGGGAATAAAAATTAATTGGGTTATATGCGCCATACAAACTGATAGATAACAGCTTTATACATGTTTAGTACATTTAAACTTTAACCAAGCTCCACTTATAGCCCCATAATGCTCCTCACAAGCTGCATAATGCAAGGTACCTAAAAAAAATATGGGGTGTGCCTGAAACTCAAGCAATGCAACTAGAACCTCAAAATCAATTAAAGGCCAAGGACATATCCACTAAATAGCAACTAAGACATAAACAAAATCGTCACATGTAGTGAATGCATAACATACAAGTAAAAATAAAAATACTATAAAATATAATAATAATGGACATGAGCAACAGTGCACACACAAAGTAAACACCCTGATACAAAATGTATACATAGAAATAAAAACATAAATAATAAATATACACAAGAAGACATGGGTGTAAATTCAAAATCCAAAACTATGATAAATTAGCTCCATAATAACTATTGATAAATAACAAAGTATAGTTGCATAATTTAAAATAGAAACTACAACAAAGATGTGATAATACATCTATTTATTATCCCCACTAGAGAGTACAATATATCTCCATTTTAACAATGTATTTCAAAAATAAGAAGGAGCCAATATTTATCGAATGTCCTGATAGGCTCATATGCTGTTCTAACTAGGGCAAAACATTGTTTTGCTTATGTCTCAGCTCTATTTAGTGGATATACCCCTGGCCTTTACTTGATTTCTAGTTGCATTGTTTGATTTTAAGGCACAGCTCTATATATGAATAGAAGAAGTTGGATTTCTAGTGCTTGTGCAATGGCTGTTCGGATTTCCCAAACCAGAGTTTCTTCCTTCTGGCTGTAGATAAATGTGAAAAGGTGATGTAGGGGTGCAGTGCCTTCAGTAATTACCTCATATCCAATTGAGTATAGGGTGATATGAAATGATAATTAGACAATAAAACGAAATATAGTGCAGTATTTTCATTGCTGGTGATATTAGATGAAAAGAAAGAAATACACTTACAATTTTCTGAAATCAGTCCCAGATGTATTCGCTTGGACGGTATGATCCCCATCTATAGATATGCTGGTATTGGCCCTGGTCCTCTGTTAGGAGATATTCTCAGCCCTCTCAGCGGTGGGCAGAAATTACCAGTTGCTGGGGATGTTTTCTTTCAATGCGTATTTCAGCAGCAAAGGTACACCAGCAGAGAAATATAAAAACAGAAAATAGTGCTCTCTACATGGATAAATAGGAAATAAAAAGGATAAAAGGAGGTATACTCACAAAAGGAGAGCAAAGAGAATTTGTGCTCAAACAAACACACTGGACATCAAGAGAGATCTCTCTCTATTAACCCCACAGAATCAAGGCATAGAAGAAAAACTAGAAATGATAGTACACATGAGAAACTCCCACAAGGAAGAACATGCTGTTTTAGAAAGAAGAATGGTGGATGTGGAAAATAAAATTATAGATTTGGAGGATAGATCAAGGAGGAACAACTTAAGAATCAGAGACGCATCAGAACAAATAAAGACAATAGAACTGGAAACTGTAACGGATCACCTTGCACCCCGACTAGGTACCTCCGTTGAAGGATGCTTCTAGCGCTTCCTGAGGGCTCCAAGCACTCCAGCCTACACCATAACCACCGTAGACTCCTTCAGAGAGCAAGACAGGAACAAGCTCTTACAAGATTATAGCAAGGGAATATGCAGAGCATAGCAATCCCTTGTAGCAGATTCCCCCAATAAGAGACAGGACTCAGATTGAGGGTGAAGTAGAATTGACTGTACTGGCACATACAGCCTCTTTTATTCACATTCTACAAATATAGTACTGCCCACAGGGTTTTGCAGAACAAACAATCAATACGTACAATACACTTAGACACTCCCACACAAAATCCTCCCCTCTGTCTGTGATATAATTACTGAACACAA